GTCAGCAATGGTAGAAAAAGATAAATTAGACAGCAATATTTTAGATTCAGATGAATCTATTTCAATTTTATTTAGCACGGTAGTTGAGTCAAAATTTATTATTTCTGACTTTATTTGATTTGTCATTGTCGGAAAAATGTCAACGGACGATAAGTTGGAGAATTCTGACTTTTGTAAAGCTTGCGATGAAATATTGAATATATCAAATGTTTTAGTCAAATTAGAAACGTTTTCGGCTTTTAAATCTATTAAACGCGGAATAGTTCCAAACTGAGTTTGATGATGCTCTTTGAAATATTCTACATTCTTGCCAACTATTTCGCCAGTTATCCTTCCTATTTCAATATCCTCGTCAGAAATCTGATCAACTACGTCTGATTTCGCAGGCAATTCTTGTACAGTAGATAAAGAATTTGGCATTTCAGATTTTTTAGAAAAATTTAGATTTGGTTCAAGAGTTTTTGACGATAGTCTGTCCGAATCGTAACTTTCTAACGATTCTATGTTTTCAAACTTTAGAGTTTCACTAAATATTTGCTTAGTGAATGTGGGCTGTGGAACGTGTGTTACATTTCCCTCGGGCAAAAATTCAATAACTTTACTAAGTTCAGCCCTTTCTTCATCAAATGAATCATCGATTCCTTTCAAAGTGTCAATCGTTGGCAGCTGGATGTCTATTACAGCCATACATGTTGGTTTAGTAATTTTTTCTTTTGCTCTAAACAAATCTGTTTGTTCAGTTTCATATCTATCGTGTACAAATTCAACAGCATCATAAAGATCGTTTGATAAATCTTCACTGCATATGCTCATATCTTCTTCTGTGATGATTTCGTAGGCTGTGAAATTTATCATTATTTATAGGTCATCACTAATATAATGATTGATCGATTAAGAAACATGCACTTAGTGGCTGTTGATTCATTTGTAACAAGAAACTTTTGAAAGCAGCTTCACCAACAGAAACGAAAGATTTTATTGTGGCACAGCAACAAAGCCAGCTGTTAACGCAACAACATGCTTCAAACGTTCAGACTTTTAAAATGCACAACCCTACATTTATTTTCAAAAAGGTTTGGGTTTTATTAAAAATATTAATACTTTCAGTAATTTGTTTGAAAAGGTAAATCAAACTTATACACGAATAAAAATCAATATTTTTCAAATTCAATGTTAGGTTTGTTGTTCTCTATTCAACGGAAACATTATTAACAAGCAAGCAATTCATATAATTTTTTAAAAGTTATTCTACAAAATCCATTCTTTGAAACCATAGTGAAATAAAAAAATGCCAATGATTTTTTTGATTCTAAATTCTAAAGCATTTAAATTTTATTACATTGTTGACATAAATTAAATTAAACACCTTCAGTTTACTTAAATAAACAAAAAAAAGCATATAATTTTATTTTTCAAGTTCAGAATGAATTTTTAATTAAGAAGTGTTTGGTGTTGTGTTTTTGTGATTTTGATTGCTAGTGAAATATCAGTTCAATAACTTATAATAAGTTAATCATTTTTCAATATAGTTTTCAATCGTGATATCATGCATGAACTCTTGTTATACAAATATTTGCGGATAATAACAAAAAAAACGCAGCTCATAAATTTTAAAAACTGACCTGAGACAGTAAGATAAGCGGATGATTTCGCAGTTCCATATTTGTTCGTTGCCACACACGTGTAGTGACCGCTATCTTCTGGGAAAACTTCGGCGATGTGCAAGTTGGATTCACCGGTTTTAATGTTGTAATCAGTGATTATGTGCACAATTTCTGAGCAATTTTTTTCATTTCTAAACCAAGAGACATTGTTTGGCATGGGTCTTGCAGATATTTTAACGTTGAAATTTACTGGGCTGCCATCCATAACATTTGTTGGGATAAGTTCAATAAGGAACTTGGGGGCAAATCCCGTTTCAACGTCTAGTTGACTCTTTTGCATTGGTTCCGGTATTATTTCAGCTTCCAGTTTCATGCCTTTAAACATGCTTTCTTGTTGAACCACCAATTCTGATGTTTTGTTTTCTTTTGGCATCAGAAATTCCATTTGATGAGTTTTGTTTTCTGTTTTATCAATAGAAACAGTTTCTGAAAACATTTGTGGTTCTTCAACTAAGATAATTTTGGCTTCCATTAAAATTCCCTGCAATGAGGCTTCTTGTTGTACCGTTATTTCAGATAATTTTTTTGTAGCCAGACTTTCAAAAAAAACTTCTTGTATTTCAGAAGTGTCTATTGCAACAGTTTCCGAAAATGTTGGCTCAGGCGCCAATTCGTACTCTGATTCTAAAGTCATTCTTCTGAGTTCCGAGTCCTGTTGAGAAATGATCTCATGAAGTCCTTTTGAAATTGGCAAGATTTGTGAAACACTGTCTCTAGAGTCTATTGAAACCGTTTCAGAGAACGTAGGAGGTTTAGATATTTCAATTTCCATTTCGGATATAACGCTTGTTCTTCTGTCTATCTGATTATTTTGAACATAAAGCTCCGCTGTTTTCTTAGGTTTTTCCGTTTGTATTTCAAATTCTAGAGTTTTGTTGTTGGTTTGATCAATTGAAATAGTTTCCGAAAAAGGTTGCTCAGATGTCTGTTGGTCCAACACGAACTGCTTCTCAACTTCGAGTCTTCTGGTTTGTCTTTCATCGGTTAATTCATATTCTTTGTTGATCATATACGAAGACGGCGTTCTTAAATCGTCTGCCACTAACTTCAATTCTACATTGAACTTTGGCCTTCCATCATTCTCGTGTTGGTGATAATTCAACTCACTCGTGTATTTTTTATCAAAAAATTCTTCATCTTGGTGTGATGAAACTGTTAATATAAAAGGAATGATTATTTAATTCAATTTAAAATTAAACTAATCATATAACTAATCAGAATGTAAATGAAAAATTTTACTTGTTTATTTGATTAATAAAAGATCACAAATTTGATATAAGAAACAAAAAACTTTTTTCTTAACATTCGTTTATTTTACTCGATTTTAACCTCTGATGTAAAGATGTGATGTAGAATAAGCAACCCCAGATATATTTTCAGCTTTGCATGTATATTCGCCCTCATCACCAACGAAAACTTCCCTGATGTACAAGACGCTTTCTTTCTTGCGGAAATCAGTTGATATCTTACAGGAACTGCTTTTATCGGTGATGAGGTTTCCATTGGCAAACCATTGAATCGAAGGAGATGGTTCCCCGTCAAACTTCACGACAAACAAAACTTCTGAACCTGGTTAGTTGTCGGTTATTAGAAAACTTTTGATTACCAATAATACTTTTGAATATATCGCAGCTTTCTAAAATAGCATAATATTTACATTGACAACGTTTAAAATTATATAAATATACCTAAAGCGGTTAAATTATTGAAAACAAATGTTGATCATGACGTTTATGACAACAATTGCAAAGTTAATTTTTAGTTGCAAACGTTCGAATTATTCATTCGATCGTTTGTTGAACGTTTAATAAACTGTTTAATAAAATAATTTTTTACATTCCTCCCTTCATTATATCTCACATAGACAGGAATCTCTTAGCATTCGATTCAAGACACTGCAACAACAATTCCAGACACCTTAACCATTACACCATCGCACCGTCCTACAATATATGTCTCAATCTGAGTACTGTGATTACATTAAATATTGACTAGTCATGCACCTTCAGATGCGATCCTGTTGACGAGGGGCATGGAAAACGTTGGCGGCAGGTTGAAGCTGTTGCTGTTACTCTGTGGCGGAGGTGCCAGTGAATGCGTCTGCAGGATTGGCATGCAGAACTGCGGCTGTCTCGTTTGTCGAGGTGGTGCTTGTTTCAAATCAACGTGTTCACTTCCTGAATGAAGTTTAATTTCTTAACTTTAGAACAAAATTTTGTGCTTTTATTCTAAAAATTTGAAAAAGTCACACTTTTACAAAGTACATACTGAAAGTATGTTATATAATATTTCTGAATTAAAATAAGTTGAACAGAGTTATATTTTCAGCACAAAACCAACCATTGACAATGAGATAGGTGGTCGTGCCACTCTCCCCATACAGATTTCTAACTTTGCAGGTGTACTCGCCGGAGTTTGAAGGCTGTGGATCTGGTATCATCAGAATGCTAAGGATGTCCCCGTCAACCTCGTTCATCGTGTGACCTGTCGATATTTCAACACCATTGAAGAACCACGTCACGTTCGTGGTTGGCTCTGGTAGGATTCTACACTGGAATCTATATATTATTTTCACAAAGTTGTTGTTAATAAAGTCGGTTGTTGTTGTTGTTGTTGATGATGATAATAGACATTTAATTACGGGTTTCGATGATTTCTGAGAACGAAGTACGATTAATATTGAATCAGCTAATAAAAAAATAAAAAAAATTAAACAAAAAGCTTTATACAATGCACTGACCTTACTGGTTGACCTTGATTGACCACCATTTTGGGTTCAAGGGTAACACAAAACTTCGGGGTCTTTTCAGAATGCGGTTTTCCTGATTGCAGTTCAAATGTTTGAACTCTATCTGCTGGGTCTGTTAATGGTAAGAAAAATAAGACGCTTGTTGACAATAATATTTTTTTAAACTAACAAACTTCAATTAATAATAAGTAAAATTTATAGTTACAAAAAAAACATAGTAATGATGATAATAAATGTTTAACTTAGGCGTTTATTATAAATCACTTACAAATCAGAGTAAGTAGCAATTGTGCTTATTTATATTCCAAACTTAATTTAGTGTAGTTCAAATTACATTTATGCACGGGTCACGATGTTTTACGTGTCCAATATTTTAACAAATAAATTGCACTATTTTTATTTTTTTTTTTTAAAACTGCAAGACAAATTTATGTCATTTCTATTGCCTTAGTGGACCGGTTTAATATTTCTACTTTACTTCAATCATGAATGGTAGTTACACAATACTAATTTTAATTAATCAACTCATTGCTATTGCTTATTCGTTTAACAACCATTCAAACCCAACGTATCTATCACTGAAACAACTAACCAGCAACAATGATCGAAGCAGAACACACGGACTGCCCGGTTGGATTGTAAGCCACACAAGAATAAGTTCCACTGTCCTCAAACGAACATTCTTTTATTATCAACCGACATAAATTCCTATCCTCATCGTAAGTCATTTGATACTTTTCCGTCGTCGTTGGCAACCAGTCACGTACTCCATCCTTCAACCACGTGACCAAAGGTCGAGGTCTACCGTGAACCACCGCTGTCAACGTGATCGTTTCGCCCTTGTCCACTAAACATGGCTGGACCCGACGAGAAAATCTTGGTCCTGTTCTGATTGTTGAAATGTCTCGACGACCATCGGCGATTTGTTGAACAAGCAGATGGCTGTAGCTTGAATCGATTATTAGTGGATCATTGAGTATTGATTCGTTTAATGTGCAGACAGTTTCGGCTCTTCCTCTTTCGTTTTCGGCCACGCAAGTTACGCGCACAACGCCGGTGTAGCGAGTGATGTCAAGTATCGTTATTTCAGCCAATCCAGTTTTCACGTCGTAATATGTTGTCACATTTTCAGTTCTTTCCGTAATCAACACATCGTTCACGTACCAAGTTAAGGAGGGTGTCGGATCTCCAGTGACTGTGCACGATAATTTGACCTCATGAACTGTTGTGTATGTAAATGGGGAGGGTGCGGGAGATCTCGAACTTATGATATCACGTGGACGCGAGTTGTGGCCTGACAAACGACCTGTTCAATAATAGGCATTTTTAAATATTAATCTTCAAACTAATAGTGATTATAATAGCTGGTTGAAATTTATATTGATAACTTTTAAACTAGAACAAGTGAATTAATATCAAATACTGAAAAGATCTCAAAATAACTGACCAACAGGATTGAGCCTCCCAATGCAAGACACCTCTCCATCCTCATTACTGACCGTACACTGATAGAAGCCACGATCCGACGAATTGAGAGATTTGATTTCAAGCGAGTAGACATCCCCCAAGACGTTTATTTTATGCCTGCTCGAATCCGGCCTGAATGGTTCGCTATTGAAGAACCATTCATATGTACACAATTTGGAGCACGAGATTCTGCAGGAGAGAATGGCCGTCTGACCTTCGGATACTTCAGGATCGATGATCGGTTCGACTAGCTGAGGAGCTCCAAAATTAGGGTTTGATGGATCAAATGAGTTACTAACAAAGGCATTACCTGACAAAATACAAAACAATAAGTGGATTATCATTTTAATTTAACAATCAATAAATCACAGGTTTAATCAGTTGAATTGTTTAGTTTAAACAAACTTTTTTGAAATTTCTTAACGGTAGACTTGACGGTACTGTTATCATTCCAGTCGTTATAATTATGAACGTTCTTGTAGAAATTTCTTCTCGCAATTTTTCTTTCTTCCGAATAAAATTTTCTGGAAACTTGCTGTTGTTGATGTGTAGGGTGGTGTTGCTTAAGTTGATGAGGTCTCTCCTCTGAATGAAATGTTCTCGTTATGGTGGTTTTCGTTCTCGGTGAATATGGACGTGCCAGCTGGGTCATGCTGTTGCTAGGCGAATATCTCTTCGCTTTAAGACCGGCTGTCAAACAAAAAACAATTAGCTTAATAAATTTTTTGAGTTCTTAACACAACTTACCTTTCTATGATTTTCATAATAAATTATATAACGATAAAAACACTTTTAAATTCTTTCAATATTAATACATTATTATGTGTTTAGATAATCATTTCGAGTGAAAACTGAATAAAGTATCGAAGAAAACCTTGTTTAAGAATTCACATTTTTCAAATTTTTTATAGTCTGAAAAAAAATCCCGTTTGAAGAAAAACAAATTTAAATTAAAACTTACAAGTAACTTTAAGAATCACTTGGAAGTGTTCTTGGCCTGCTTTGTTGGTTGCCACACACCTGTACACACCTGCATCATTCAGCGTTGTCCTCTGTATGGTCAAAGAATTGATACCTTTCTCGTTGACGGTCACTAAATATTTTCCATCCGAGGTCGTGATTATGTGGTGGTTGTCCCTGTACCAAGCCACGTCTGGAGTCGGTTTTCCTACTACAATTGCATCAAATCTAGCTACCTGGCTTTCTCCGACTTCGAGGTCTTTTGATATTGCACGAAAATATGGTTTCTTATATTGCTCTGTTACCGAACTGTTTAATTTGAAAAATACAAAACGGTAAAAATATTATCTCTATTAAATTTATTTATACAAATACGTGAAGTTAAACCTGAACAAATCATTATTAAAAACTTAAAAGGATATTTCTAACAAACCCTGCGTTAAGTGTGGAACTATCAACCAGCAATTTATTAACGAGGACCATTGTGTTGAGGCCAACACTGCTACCACTCTCACTACTTCTTGCCGACGACAACGCCACCTTCACATCTTCCAACGAAGATTCAATGGAACCCATTCCTGATCTATCGGAAGGCACTGCAGATGAATTTAAAATTTGATCGTCAGTTCAATCAAGCCTTGTTTCAATCTTTATTTCTGACAAAAATCACACAACAGATATCCATTAATTACATTTTCAAAATATTAAATTTTTCAAATAGAAATTAAAAACAAAACGTAAACTACAAAATAATAAACATTCGATTGGAGAACCGACCATGTACAATAAGATCTGCATTGCATTGATCAGATCCTAGAGAATTCTGGATAAAACACGTGAATCTACCGGCATCTTCCATAAATATTTCGGGTATTTCCAAAGAGCAAGTGTCGTTGTGTCGAGAAATGCAAAAGTCCGGAGAGTTTGGAATCTCCATTCCCTCTCTGAACCATCTTATTTCCGGATTTCCAGTAACTTTCACTTCAAATTTAACGCAGTCACCTTCGTAGGCAGCAATTGTGGTCATTCGTTTTAAAAACCTTGGAGGAACTGTCACAATAATAAAATTTCAAATATTTAAAAATCGAAAAACATAATACAAAAATGAAAACAATGTTTTAATAATAAAAATGTTAAAAAAAAATGAAATTCATTGCAAATTTTACTCCAAAACATTGAGGAAAATAATAGGAAAGGAATGAACCTAACAGACCTTCCCCACCACCACTGTCATTGATCAGGTTACCGAACGATGACGTCATCGATCCATACTTTTCCTCAACAATGTTGATGGACGATGATGACGTGAGACTCCTGGTGGCGGGAGACATGGCGTACCTCGGAGATGGGCGCGAGGAGATGTGCTCGAGACGAGCCGATGAACTAGCTTCTCCCTTCTCGTTCCTGGCTACAAATGTGTACCTGCCGACATGCTCGCTTTCGACGTTTGCTATCATCAACTTGTGTTTGTTGCTGCTTACTTTTGCTGTGGTCACTCCGTTCGCGTTGTCGTTCATAATGAGGGCGTCGTTAAAGAACCAATATATCTTTAGAAATTTTTTTGTTGTGCTAATTTAAAAGATCTGAATTTAACATTTTTGACAGCAATTAATAACTATTAATCATTTCATTTCTATTGACAATAATAAACCGAAATGTGATTGGTTGCCATTTTATCATTACTAGTCAATTAATGTAACTCAACAAGGCAGTTAGAAGTACATTTTCTGCTGTTAATCAGACACGCCACAGAAAGGCACCACCAACCTGTGGTTCCGGGTCAGCTTGAAGTTCAACCTCAAAGGTGCAGGGCAGTCCAAACTTCTGGCTCTTATCGTGCAGGGACTTCGTTATCTTCGGTGCAAACCTCTCGCCAAAATTTCTTAGCGATGATGCCGGTGTTGATAATGATAGCAGGGATAGGGAGGGTGATGATACTGGCTTGTCACTGATTATCTGTCGACGATTAAATAAATAATCAATGAACCAGGAAAGTTATGAGCAATAATAAAAGATAACCGAACAGTTGGCAAAACAAAATTTTTATCGACAAGTAGCGTTAACAATTAAAAATATTGAAATAAAAGTGATTTAAGAATTAAGAATTAATCATTCGAATGCTTAAGAAACTAAAAAATAAAAATACGTCACAGAGAAATTTGAGCAAGAAAAACAAATCTGCGAACATTAGGATCAGCAAGTTTCTTGAGCAGGACAGTCCTCTTCAGCTGCAACTTGATGTGAACGTCGGTGAAGGCATCCTTTATTAATTTCTTCGCTTCGAAAGATTCTCCGACCATCGAAATGAATTCATTTTCCATGCGCTGAAATGGTGGTTATCCGAATTAATTGTAATAAAGAAATAATGGAGCTGGTGATGTTCGTTATAAGAACTATGTTCAGCAGTGAAGAATATGATGGCGCGATGATAATAAGTAAAAACTCACGAATATTTGTTTTGAATGTTATTGTGTGCTTGTGCTTGAGTACTTCTACACGTAGAGTGTTGATGGGTAGAGAACATAGTGTGCGTGCATACATTAACTTGCAGAAGGTTGGATGCTTATAAGTTATTCATCGTTGAATAAGATGAACAATGTATGAGATGTAAATATTAAGAAGAGTTCTTCAATGCATCTTGAAAGCAATCAGATGTTTTTTGTTTCTATGTTAGATGCAACGGAGGATAAGAATGAGAAGCGATAAAATGTAAATAATATAACTTTTTCAAAATGCGAGATTTGTTAATGTTCTGAGTTGTATCAAACTGCACGTGAATTTATAAAATGTATCAAAAATTATTAGCAAACAAGTAGTGTTGCTTCCAAAAACTCCAATTTATAAAAGTTTGTGGCACAAAATGTGCACAACGCAAATACATACTTACGTCATAAGCAACATAAAAATATGCAAAATTAGTTTACGTCGATAAGGTTGAGAAAGTTTCAAATAGTTTTCAAGATGTTAATTCAGGCAAGAAGCACTTCAAAGTGTTAGTTGCTCTGTCTTTGCTTCCAATTAAGATTTTGTTCAGTTGCATTCCTTTTTAAGCAATTTTACGCAACCTTGGAATTTTTAACAAAATGTTTCAATTTTCACTCTTGTAATAAAATTGAGCATCACCATTTTATACAACACCCTTCAAAGTTACTGTCTGACAACATGATCGCTATCAACACCGTCAACTAATTAATGTTCCTATCATTGTCTGGAACATTTCTTCGACGTGAAATTATTATCTGACAATTAATTAAGGAACGTTTGCAAAAATGCTCGATATATAAAATCGACACAAATTAATAAATCCAATTAACATAAAGCTTAAACTCACAACGACAATTAGCGCACAACTTTGGCATAACAAACACAATGCAGATGATTAAGGAGGATTAGACACATACAAAACTAACGTTAACTTTGGCTATTATACTTTCGTGGTCTTGGAGAATACTCTTTGCTTCGGTTTTGTTTGAGCCCAAATCATTTAAATTTGGCTTTATGTTGCTCAGTTGAACTTGGAACAATAAATCATGCTAGGATTGACAGGACACAAAAAATTACGAGCATGTTTAAAATAAAACATATTTAAAAATCAATTAATCGATCATTAGCAAAATTTCAAAAATTTGCAAAACAATTAAGTGCGGAGTAGCATTTAAAAAAATAGAAATAATAGAAATAATAACACATGAAACCAAACAACTTTGGCAATCCAACTGCAGAAAAATGCAAAAAATCCATGAATGCAAATATAAATATATACAAGTGCAATTAACATAAACAGATGCACAAATATGCATCACATATATACACTTACATGTAAAACAACATCATAAAACAAAAAAAGAAAAAGACAAGTGTAGAAAAATATATTAGAAAATGAGTTATAGTTTTCTTAACAAATGAAATTAAAAATAAGTTAAGATAAACAACAAAATGAAAACAAAATATGTTTGTCATCTATTTATCCGTTTTCCTAGAACTCAGGAAGAATAGAAAAAAATAAGTATAAAAAGTTAGAACAGACCAGGTGGATAGTGAGTTCCAGTTGGCAATTTCCAGCTTCAATCGAAATGGTTTCTTTGTCGGAGATAGTGAGCTGTTGTCCTAGTGTCCTCAACAACTCAGAACTGCTTTTTTCGATAAGGCCCATTTTTATTTGGATATAACTCAACTTACAAAAATTAGCTTCAAACTTTTTTTAAACAATAAACAGTTTAAAAACTTGAAAATTCTAAAAAAAAAACAATTGAGAAACTCTAAAATTAGTTTATCTTGAAATTAGTCTGCAGTATTATTTAATCTATACCGACGCATACAAGTTTAAAAATAGATATAATTTTTCAAGCTATTATTAATCATAATGTTACATTCAATATTATAAATTGAAAATTTATTAAAATTTCGATATTTATTTTGTTGAAAGCCCTTGCACCTTTAGGTTATTAGCAATTTCTTAATGTTCATCTTCCCTAAACACTTTCTTCGTTTGAGTCTGTATTTAAGAAAAGCTGTTGCTTCATACACTGACATATACAATATAAGAAGATATATAGTCATCTTGGCATCATCGTATGTATGCTTTATCTTGCTACCTACATTCTTCACGTACTTTTCTTCTTTATAATCAACCCCTCTATAATATACATTCACCATTATTATTGCTGTTTAGTTTGTACTTATGATTAGTTTGATGATGTTGATGATGACTATGAACTTCCTTTACTACATCATCAGTTTTTTAATGATTGTAGGATTTTTAAGTATATGATGAAACACATAATAACAATGAAATGCAAATTGAAATGGTTCTATCAAGAAAATGTAAGAGTTTAACACAAGCGTGAAATCCATTTCAACACTTGAAACAAACTCAAAATTAAAAGCAATAAATCTCATGAAATGAACGATAGATCGCATTGAACGATGATTGTGGATGATGATTAACATGCAGAATGCTGAATTCTCTGCCTGTTCCACTCACGCATTCCATCTTTTTTGCATGTTTACTGTTCTTTTAACATTCTCTCATGAAAAAACAGCAGTAAATTTAATATTTATAGTTTCGCAATGTGTACGTCGTCAACTGAGTTTGCGTTATTAGCAAAGTTATGACTATTTATGAACGATCATTATAATTTCAAATATTCATCCGCGGTTTGTATGTGAACACTCCTTCCCAAATACAGCTTCCGAACATCTAAAACTAGATAACTAGTATAAACAGATAAAATATTGTTCATAATTTTAATAAGAAACAAACAAATGAATTGAAATCGATTGGACGCGCAATGATTGAATGTACGTCAGTTCGGTATTTTCATACCATGGTCGTAATTTATTAAAATGAAAGAATATAAGTACACGACCGCAAACAACGAAACCGTCGATCAATGAAACGCCAATCATCATCATTTGTCTAATTACCTAATTTAGTTACATCCAAAAGACGCATTTACAATATGTTAAGTGTATGTAAGAGTTACAAGCATCCAGAAACAGGTTCACGATGCCGTAGAACGAGAAAAACGTTAAACATAACAACCAGATCCCCAAAAAACAAACGTTCGTTTGACTTTGAGGATAAAAATTTGTTTCGCAAAAACAAAAATGCAAGCAAACTCAAATACGTTACACGGACACGCACGCAGCTTTTTTGAACTTGATTTAAAATATTTTAACTACGTAACATATTATAACAGTCAAACAATGTCGTGAAAAATTTTTTCCTGATTTTATGACAATTTCCATGTGGATATTTCTGCCTGTTTGAAATTGATGATACGAACAATCTGATTATAACAATAAAACTCTACCGTGCGGAAGCACGGGCACGCTTCTAAACGCAAGAGACCATCATTCAAATCCAACACACAGTGAAGTTTAACTCAATCAAAAATCGTTGATACCCCTGAACCTAGAAATTGTGTGATAGACCTTTAACCTTTTTTTAACTCAATAAAATGAGGTACTGAAACGAATGCAATGCGAGAAAACGATTTATTTGAATACAAAAAAATCAAAAATTCACAGGCCAAGATTTAATTTCATTAAATTAAATTTTTCATTTACTTTGTTCGAATAATCATTCTTCTTTTTAATTTTTTGATGCATTTTCCGTATCTCTTTCAAGTCAACCTGTTTCTTTATGATCAATTCTTGCTGATGTAAAATTTCAGTTATCGAGACATCACTAGGAATTTGAACGTATCTAATATTCGTCCCTCGGACAAAAAATTTATCGAACACTGTTTCGGATCCGAAAATATCGGTAAGTGTAACATCCGACATATGGATATTCATGTTGTGATCGACACTTTCCAATGTTCCGAACGCTTTTTTTTCATTGCGAAGTTCCACTGTAGTTTTTCTTCCATTTATTCCTCGTATAAGACTAACAAGAGATCTGTCAATTTTATCCCGAGATGATAAAGCTGGACTCATAATTAAAAACACAATGAGCGGTCACAAAACGAAGCGAAATATTGAGAATTCCCGGGCGAAATAAATAATAAGTAATAAACTGCTAAACTAAGGATGAGCCTGTCAGTGATAAAAATGAGTTGAAGTTCGAAATGTTTCAATGATTTGTAACAAATAAATAAGAATTATGCCAAATTTTCGTTTTAAAACACTTTAGATTGCTAGCGCTTATTGATATATAAATATAACGTAATAGATGCGAGTGAGAACAAATTTAGTGTTTTTGACGTTAGGGCAGTTAGTTGCATTCTTTTTGTTTTGAGTACGTTAGCTCAGTTAGTTATTCGATGCTTTCCAAATAACTACGAAAGTGATCTCTCAAATAATTTTGTCGGCAACAACTTCAAATCGCGATGATTCAATCGGGTTATTTAAAGAATTTGAATTCCGTTTTGTTCCGATCGACTTTTCAGAATTTCTTGTGTGATGCGATCATCGTAACTAAAGATGGCGACGAACTTCACGCACACAGTTTGTTTCTAGCGGGAGTGAGTTTAAAATTGAAAGCTGCCATGAGATCCCTGACACGTTTAAACAAAAATAAAAATAGATTGAGGTGAGCCAGAAATTTGTATTTTTATTCTTTTTTGTTTTTCACATTGAGTCACAAATTGAACAAAATTTTATCTTTTAGTTTTACATTACATTACTAAGTGATAGTAATGTAATATCATTACTTACTTACACATTACTACATTTTATCTGACTGTGCTTGCTACATTATCTATCTAGGTTGGGTGTTATCTGTATGTTTAAATTTTAATTAATTAAATATGTTTTATTAGTTAATGTTAATTATTATTAAAATTATTGAATTTATAATAATAATAACAATTTATTCAAGGAAAATGTTCTTATCTATGTATTTAAATTTTAATTTAATAATAAAATGCTAAACTAAAAAGTTATTATTCATTAGTAAATTAGTTAATTAGTACATACTTGAAATTAATTGTTGACTTTAGAAGAGTCATTTTAATAATGATTTGCTATTTTTCATAAAATTATATAAAATGTATATTTATTTTGTCTTTTGAGTTTTATGATTATTTTTATGATCATATAATTTTATAAAATATAATTCTTAGCTGAAATAAATATGATTGAAAAAAAGGTTGGTAAATATGTCAGTGGCTCATCGTGGTTATAAGAAAACTATTTTTTTAAACTTTTAGCTACAACTAATGTTTTCCCTAATGTTGTACCTAATACCAAAAATTGATTTTTGATTTTACAAACAAATGGTTGTCCAATTACCAATTGCACTATATATAATTGGGTCAATTTTTTTTCAATAATTTATAGCTTATAAGTAAATTAGTTAGTTATTAAAATGTATATTTGGATTTATACATATAATTTATATGCTATGATTATGCATGTATGATATTAACATACGTTAAAAATAAAATAAATCATTACAGCATGTTGTTACATGTTATATATTGTTTAGTAAAATAATTTTTAGTGATAGTATTAGCAACACTATTTCAAATTGCTTATGATATTTTATCAAAGTTAAGCGTATATAAATGCAAGTGTAAGAATATATGTTGGGATATGTATATATATATATATATTTTTAAAAGGTGTTCAATTTTTGATAAATTTTGTTTTATTTTTATTTATAGTCCTACAATTTTTTTATGATCTGTAATTGTTAAAATATATCTGATTAATTAATTGGGAAAATAAATTGCTCAAACAAAGGATACATCTATCAAAAAGTACTTCGAAATTTGCAAAAGAGATGTTGGAGTTCATCTACACTGGCAACATAACACCGTCCTATGTAAATAAACCAGCTGAAGACTTTTTTCAACTATTAAAAGTAGCTCACAACCTCTGCTTAGATGATAATGTTCTTGCAACACTAATACGCTACCTACAGAGGTCATTCATTTATTATGTTTTGACTACATTTGAATAAATTTCGTTTTTTTTAGCTTTATAATAATTTTATAGTAAAAAGTTTTTGTCCTGAGATTAAATTGCTAAGTCTCCATTGGGGCATCTTTATTTGCTTGAGATCTCATCAGTCTCATTTTTAATTATTAATGGAAACTTATAGAAACTTTGCTATACTGCTCTGTGCAAAAGTGTTTCTATTTCAAACAAATGCTATTTTAAAATAATTTGATTAAAATTTTTGTAATTATGAAAAAAAACTTAAACAGCATTTTTTCATGGAATAACAGTTTTTTTATTACATACTTCAACCAAATCAAATGGCTAAAAAAATATTGAATGATTGATGATTGATTGATGTCTGGTGAATAATTACATGAGCATGATGTTTACAAATCTTTCAATTTTTTTTCCAGAGAGGGATTCATGTGTCTCTGGTTTGTTCAGAAGCCTGTATCTGTAGTCATTGATGTTGTCGAATATGCTGGTACCCATTGTTTTTTACTTGTTGCCTTTCACATGCCTTACCACATTTTTTAAAAATTATTTTTCAACATGTAGCAGTATATTTTGATCTAGTTAATTTAATTTGCTTGTTTCTTGCAGATGGATTCCCAATGAAAACCTCTGTGGTGGAATCCACACTGGTAACCTCCAGCTTGCTCAACATCGATGACCTGCTTTCAAACAAGAAGAATGTTGATGACATTGATGTGTCAGTCTACAGTGACGTCAGTAAAAATGACTTTACAAAACTTCTCTCAAAGGCAAATTTGGTTTCAAAAAACTTCTCAGACAAGGGTGCAGTAGAGACTGATGTTGTAAAATGTTTAGCAAATGGAGCTAGTAATAACACTGATTCTTCTTCGGAGAACAACCAATCACCATTGAAAGATGATGCAAACATAGATAATCAAGCCTGTAACAAAGATATAATTAATAGTAAACAAATATTCAATAAATCTACAGGCAAGTTCAGTGAACAGATTGTTAATAATTCCTCCAAGGTCGGGACCAGTGTTGGAAATATTACTAGGATACGTTTAGAAAATAAAACTTCAAAAACTGATGTCAAAGATGTAGAGAATGATAACGATGCAGAAGATGATGGGTTGATGGAGGTCTCTGATGAATGCGGCGAGGATTACAGTAGCATCAACGAGCAAACTGTTTTCTCTGATGACGACGATAACGACGGTGATTTTGAAAGGTTGTCGTTTGAAGAAAAGCAAGATGACAAATCTATGAGTAGTGAGGATTCTGATGTTGACACCTCAAGACTGAAAGAAGGGTTGAACATGTACAAATTTGAACTGGAGAAATGTTACAGGCCAATTTATTTCTGCAAGACGTGTAATAAAGTATTTTCAAAAGAAGAATACGATGGGCATAAAGCTGTTGAAAGAAATGAAAAACCATTCAAATGTGAAGTTTGTTCCCATTTGTATTCCAATAGAGCTGACCTCCAAGACCACCTGGATACGCATGACAACATCATTAAGCTTAAGGGCAGTGTTAAAAGAAATAGCATGTTAAACAAAATAGTCGGAAAATTATCAAATGAAGAAAATGTTGGAAATTATGGAAAGCAGAGTAGCATTGGTTCTGTGAACAAAAACGCTAGTGAACATGATGCGAACAATAGTTTCGTCAGCAAAGACCAGAGCAACAAAATACAGAATGAAGTTGAAGATATGTCGTCAGTGGACAAGAATGCAGTCACCACTCCATTTGCTGATGATAATAATCCTAATGTATGTAATTTTTCAGACAAAACATCTGATTCTTCACAGGTTGAACTCGCAAAGTTGCTGCCAACACCATCTAAGAAGCAGAGGGTGAAAACAGCATGTGTACCACCATCAGATGTCATCAACCTCTATGACCCTGTCGATAAGCTGCGTTTGGTGGAGGGAAATAATTTTTGCAGGTACAAGGAAGGTGGTCGTGTCAGGCAATGTTATGTGTGCACAAAATGTAATCGACACTTTGACAGAGCAAACTATTATGATGAACATAAGATAACCGAGTCAGGCATGAGGCCATTCAATTGTCCCCTGTGTTCACAGAGTTTCTCGAGAACTCGCAACATGATCAACCATATGCTACTCCATAGAGGTATCAGGAAAAATATCCCTGATTTAAAGAAATCAATCAGCAAGTCACCGATGCAATACGGTTGCTTTGCATGTAAAAAAATGTTTGATAATAAAACCGAACTGTCATCTCACAGGTGTGGTTCAATTGAACTGGCCTGCATAACTCAGGAAGAGTGTGTTGCTACTGCTGCTGCTGCTTCGAATGACGACGATGATGATGTTGAGGAGGAGGAGGAAGAGATGGTTGAAATAACGACAAACACGACATCAACAACTGCAACAACATCTACTGCATCAAAGGGTGCAATAAATATCTCAACTGCAACAACAACGAATGCAGTACTGCAAACAATTGAGGATAGTAATAATGACACAGCCGATATCGACGCTAACAGTGATTGTGGTGGTGGTGAAGATAGTGACGAGGGCTGTTCAAGTAACTTTAAAAGTAATCCGGTCACAAAAACGTTCACTTCAAAGTCATATGGCGTCAGCATTGTATACGACCATGATAAGGATTGTTGTGATGACGCCGACAACGTCGAAGTCCCAGGAAGTCCCACTGTAGACACCATCGAGATCGACGATGACGAAGAAGATGGCAACTGTAACGGAAATGCAATAACCAATGAAAAAAATGATGTTGAAACTAATAACGGCCAGAGTCATGGTGCATCTGGTGACGTAGGCACAAGTGTCAGAGCCATTGGGGCAAATCATGTGAATAGTTGTAATTATCCTCAAACTCACAATGATCGTTTCGCCACTGATGATATCAAAAATGAAGATTTAATTAGAGAAGTAGTTAATACTACAACTACAGCTACTACTGCCAGTTTTACTGCTTCTATTAATAATAACAATATTTATGATATTTCCAATAGCAATCTTGATAGGAAGATTAATCAAAAGCACAATGGCGAGAACAGCAGCAACAGCACCAGCAGTACTAACAACAATACGAGCAACAAAACTCAGGTACACTCTGGCAACGACAACGTTAATAACAATTCTTCTAACAGCTACAACAACAAGACGAGTAGCAGCGATGGGAGAAATCACGGTGACAATAAGGATGGTGACGACGACGACGACGGTGGTAGTGATGAGAACAATCAAAAGTTTTACAGATGTAGTGTCTGTCATAAAAGGTTTCTGTTCAAACAGACGCTCATCAACCATATCAAAGTTTCTCACAAAAATGAAGATTCCAAAAAGTATGTGTTGGTTTTTCTCTTCTCCTATTTAAATCATTTTCATTGATGTTAAAATATTTTGACTATTTATAATTAATACTTCATATTAAAGATCAGTTTAAATGAAAAAAGTTCATTTTTGTTTCAAATGTAATTAAGTATAAAAACAAAAACAAATAAGTGTTTCAAACATTTGAATGTTAACTTACTTGAAAGGTTTATGTTACTTGTTTATGTAACTAGTATGCATATATAAATGCACGAGTATGCATACATGCTGTAATTCTGATACCTCTATTTTTTCTGGACAGGCATATTTGCTGAATGTTTTGTTAAAGTGACTGGTTAATAGGTTGATTAGTAATTTCATCGATATTTTATTCTCTTCACAAATTTTACCTGAGAATTTAATTAGTTTCTTGTTGTTTTTGTATATTTCTACCCAACTAATACTAACTGATTCAACACACACATGCGCATACACACACACACGCACACAGGACAGAAGAGAGAAATCAACATATGTGTGCCATGTGTGGAGAGTCTTTTAAGCACAGACAAGACTTGATACTGCATGAAAAGTCACATGGAGGAGAGGAAATGTACTACCAGTGTGATGTTTGCCTTAATACGTACACCAGGTAAGTGTGTGTGTGTGTGTGTGTGTGTGTGTGTGTGTGTGTGTGTGCGTGGTATGTTTTTACTGTGTTTGTCAATAGGTGTGTGTCACATAACTTTGAAAATGATAATCAATTTTAGCGCTTAACATGATAATTAAAAAATTTTTTTTGTAGGTTGGACGAGTTGAATGAGCACAAACTGAAGCATACTTACAATGCAGATGGCATGAACTCGTCATCAGTTGCAAAAAGAAATTCATCAAACAATGAAAACTTCAACGAGGCCAATACATTGTCATCATCAAACAAGAAGAAAATTGAATTTGTTCTGAACCTCGATGTTTTCAAAAACTCAAAAAGTTTTGATGGCACCATCAACACTCACTACTCACTGGCTGATATTTCCACAAACTCTGCGTCAACCATTCCCGGACCATATAACCCTCCACCAATCATAGATGACTTCACCTCAAACTCCCAGCTGGTCGAGGGGTTGAATCTGATCATGAACCATGCCAAGGGAAAACCCTACAGCAAATTCTACTGCATGCAGTGCAACAAAACGTTCACCAGGGCTTCGGTGTACGAGGAACACTTGCGAGTGCACACCGGGGTCAGACCATTTTGCTGCGAGATCTGCGGCAAGACATTTCTACGAGAGAGCAACCTGTGTGGACACATGGTCACTCATCGAGAAAAACAAAAGCTAGTTGCCACAACAATTAATTTATAAACTAATTGAATATTTAGGTCTTCAATGCTTTTTTATTTTATAGATACTCCTCATTGTCGTCATGTTCATCAAATAATTCAATGGATGAAACTTTATGAGACATTCCATATACTAATTATTTCAGTTTATATTTACATAATTTACCTAATAATAACAATAATAAGAAGAATAAGAAGGATAATAATAACTATCAAGACAATTATTCAAACAATCTCTTAAACTAAAACATTCCCAACATACACTTTCTATAGTAAAGCAGCACATTCATTTTACACCAAAACCACACACTACCACATTGATACTTTGTAATACACTGTACACCGATATCACAAACACCATCGTTACCAGGTTCAACTGCAAGATATGCAAGCGCAAGTTTGCCATCAAGCAGAAGCTGTTACTACACGAGTTGGAGCATGACAGAGAGGAACCATTCAAATGCACCATCTGTCCCATGAGGTTCATCAGGTTTGTGGCTGATATCCTTTTTTTATTATCTTCATTGTCGTTATTGTTTTTGTTTTTTGTTTTGTTGATATCATGTTTGAATGTTACCTGTCTTGTTACTTGTGGTTATATGGCCGCATTTGTTTTGTGGTGGGTGGGGTGACTTAGATTGGGATATTTCATTTCATTAGTTACGGTTAAACTTTTCATTGTTACTCTGAAAATGAAAGTGGTCGAGATGATGAGGGTTGATATAATTGAGATTAACACAGTAAAGATTTGTGTTATCATCTGACCGATTGTGATAACTGATAAGAAAAAAATGGTTCTTGTTATTGTAATTTGTTGACCTATCATTTTAGATTATATTTGTAAATACAATCTATAAATAAGCACGATGATTGAAACCTTCATTGAACAGAGAGACAGATTTAAAAGAGCATGGAAGAGTGCACGATGTCATCTCCAATGAAATAATAGGTAGGGGTGGTTTGATTCAATTTTGTGTGAGATGTAAGAGTTTATATTATAATTGGGTTGTGATTTCAACTTCTAACATTTGTAAAGAAATTGATGTTGATGTATTGGAAAATTTTTAGTCAACAGTTATAACAGCAAGCAAATAATTTGCCAATATTATTTTGAGCACAATTATTTGGAATTTCATTTATTTGCATGTATATTGATTATGGCTACCTTTTTTTATTGCATTTTTTAACAATTTATATATAATTTTTCATAAACCTGCAAACATTCATTATTGTTGATGTAATTATTTATAATTACAACAAATAGTTTGAGTGGTAAAACCTGGCATGTCTAGTTAACTTTAAAACGATTTCTCATGAATTCCAGAAGCCGAGTTGCAGCCACTACAGCAGCAACAGCCCCAGTACTTGGAGCAGGCCACAATAGAGGAGCCCATACTGGATGAGAACATTGTACTTGCTGATATTCCTTCCTACACGACCGAGCAGATCATCTACGATGCCGTCGATGGCTTCATCATTCCTTCAGATCCACACAATGTCGATATAACGCATGCCATGTACCCCCACTCCTCCAATTCAGTTGCTACTCTCAACATTCTAGAGGTTCCCAATGACGGTAATGTTGTGAGCAACAATATGTCAGTCTGCAAGTCTGAAACAGATGCAGCAACTGAAGCAATCGCTGAAGATGGTGATTTGGATGAAGAAAGCCTAAAAAATATTTCTATCGTAGGTAGCAAAGAAAGCTCGAAGATTTTTCCCTCATCTATCAAGCTGGAAAACGGTAATGTTATCGATATGACATATAGCAAAAGAATTGTTAACATGGTTGAACGAGTGCTCAAAGTTTACACCGGCAACGATAATCCATCTACTGATGTAAAAAAAATCAAATCTGAAAAGCCCGAACATCCGCAACATTCACTAGCTGCTCACAGGACGCTTCTTCGTCAGCAGGAAATGCGGCCAATAATCGACGAGCAGACTCATTATTTGACACCTGGTGGTAGAGTGAGGCCGTACATATTCTGCGAGATCTGCAGTCAACCTTACAAGTTCATGCGAGAGTATGAGGACCACATGCGAATTCACACTGGTCACAAACCGTTTTGCTGTGAACTGTGCGGTAAAACTTTTCACCGTGCCAAGAACCTCTCGACTCACAGGTACGCACATGTTAAGGAGAAGAAGTTCAAGTGCGAGGTCTGTGGCAGGGCATTTGCACTGGGCACCCGCCTGAAGATGCACCTTAGAATACACACAGGGGAAAAACCGTACGAGTGCGACATCTGTCATGAAAAATTTATCAGGTTCGTCCAGTTTGTGAGGAATTCTTGCATAATGTTTGTTCCATGCATTGAAATATACTGTCGTGTATATAGATTATAAATGGGCTTATTTATGAAAAATATTTTGTGTTGCAATATTTGGAAGCTGTTTCCATTATTCTTCAAATGAACATCTCTTTCATCGACCTGACGAACCAGGCGGAACGACTACATGGACCACCGACGTCACAAGCACACCGGGGGCAACACGTGTTTGTACTGCGGCAAGAAGTACAGCAAGTTGGAGAGCATGAGGGAGCACATAAACGACGTGCACCGCAACATCAAGCCAATCAAATGCAAGCTCTGTCAGGAGAGCTTCAGCTACAGTGTGGCCCTCTACCGACACATGAAGAAGCACAAGGGCCAGGACAAGGACCTCAACAAAAAAATCCATCACTGCAAGTTCTGTACCAAGTCATTCCCCAGACCGTGTCTGCTAGATAGGCACATGTGGAAAGCTCATACTTCCTCCGAAAGTAGAGTAGTTAAAAGTGAAGATGAATAGGTGATGAACAGTCTAAAGTGGAACATTTGTGCATTGTTATCTTTATTCACTGAAGCATCATTACTGACAACGTGATTTTTGCTGGTTTTTGTCATTTATTTGGTTATTATCATTATTTCATTATTATTGTTAAATGTTGTTATTATTCTCGTTACGGATGCTGTGATGGCAATAATATAATGTTCAGAATGTTCATTGGTAATGAATAGGCCTGGTGTGCTGATGTAAAAATAGTTAGTTATCCCAAGTCACAACTTCATCATTGTGACTAACATTTTTCAACAAAATTTTTCATGAGCATGAGTAGATGAACTTTTCAATCAATCAATCAAATGTATTTTAAAGCGCCATTTCAGCGATGTTCAACAGCGCTCTTCAATGAATTTCACTCTGACTTTCCTAAGTGACGGAGAAGGAAGTAGAGAGAGAGAGAGAGAGAGAGAGAGAGAGAGAGAGAGAGAGAGAGAGAGAGAGATGGGAGGAGAGAGAGAGAGAGAAAAGGGCCAGAAAAGAGGAACACAGATTTAGCATATGAGTGTTTAACAACGTTAAGAAGTGATGAAGTAATTGCGAGAAGACGATGGTAATATATCTTAGGAAATAATTTAGGTTGGTGTGCAAATTTAAAAAAAAAATTTATTTTATAGGCGGCTAGCCAGTGCAAGAAAAGAAGATATGGAGATATATGAGAAAAGATAGAGGCACGAGCTGCAGAGTTAAAAGCTTTACTTATAGGATAGGGCGTAGAATCATTGTAGAGCGAGTTACAATAACCAATCCTAGATAAAACTTGAATAAATAAATAAAACGATAAATAATAATTGTATTGTGCTGTATTGCTGGATCTATGCAACATTACTCGCTAAAATCCTTTGCGGTTTGCAAAAACTAGGTACACTGGACACTAATTTCACTCCTATCATCTGTCATTGTGTGGTCATCTTCATTCAATTTATTTTCTATTAACTATCAAAGTGAGTTGGTTTTGTCTCTAGTGGAAATTAACACGCTGATCTTATGGAGTAAAAAAGTCAAATATCTCAGGATTTTGGTTATCTTTAATGAAATAGATTTCAGAAAGTGGCAGTAACAGTGGGATAAGAGGATGAGCTCTTCGTGTTTGGTGAAAAATTGCAGTTTGACATTTAAGTTAGTTTCAACGTTCTGAATGTGCTCTATTGATCTGTCTAGATCAGATTTAGTTATATAAGTATATTAATTTTTTTTTCGTTAACGTTTAACTCTTATTTTTCAATGATTTGTATAGTTTTTTTATTATTTCTATTTTATGGTAAGGTTTATATTATTTCTATTTTCATTCTATTATTATGATTATTATTTATTGTTCAATGTACATTTACATTTTTTGTTACATAGATACATAGCTTGGATGATATGTTGTTAGAAATTTGGACCAGGATGTATTTTCGGATGTTCAGTATAAAGACAAATTAATCTTTGCTAGACAATTTTCTCGAATATAAAATTTTTCTAGTTTATAAATTTAATTTTTCAAACGAATACATTGAGGTGAAAGAATTTATAAATTGTGGAAGTACATTACAAAAAATTGTTCCCTCAAGATATGATTGCCAAATGGTTCTTCCTATTGTGACGTCACATGCTGCGTACCGATATGATTAAAATGCAGTGTTGGTTTGTTGTAATATTTTATGACGTCTGCAAAGCATCCAGGTACCTTTGAAACGATGTGTTAATTTCGCAATCGTGCATCGGTCCAGAATCCATTTCGTACAAATGACTTTGTAATTTTTGTAAGTACAACAAAAATAATACGATTGACACTTTGCTGCTTTCTAAATGAGGGTGCCGGTATTCATTATCAGGCGAAAATGAGTGCATTGATTTGTTTTTGTATAGGGGTATTGTGTGCGTGCGTGGAGCCACTGTTTTACTTCTTATATAATACTTACTCGAACAGGCAGACGGTCTGTGAGCAAGCGAATGTACAACAAACAAGCGAGAAAATGAACTAATGGAATGATACAAGGACGTACAAACAAACTTTGTATTCGATACGTAGCAACCGACGTAACTGAGCCAATCAAAGTTGAATGAACTCTGCCTGGCTAACGTATGAACAGAAATAACTGTATGCATTCGTGTGTGAGACGAAACTTTATATTTAAACGGGTTTGTATGACAAGAGACGATACATCAAGTTGACTCTCCACGGATGACTGAATTGCTTGCGTGTTTGCATTGGTTGGCTGGTTGGTTGGTTGGTGCCACGTAACGTCATGGTAAATCAACGTACGTATTTATTTCAAGCTATGTGCAATGAGGCCTTAGTAAGGCATGCATTTATTTACATTGAAAAGTGTGTCAACCATGTAACTTGCACTTTTATTTCTTCATATTTACGATTGAAAATTAGCGACAACAACTAACTGACGATGTAAGATTTTTTTCACCGACAATAATATTTGTATAATTTTTATTGCTTCTTTTATTATTAAATAACTTAGTTCAACAATATTTTCTAGCGGATATTCTTTTTTTCTCCAAATTTCCTCATCTTCAAAAGGAGCATTCGGCCACGCACGCTATACAGCTTTTCATTTTCAGCTCATTCGTCATTAAACTCCAGAAGTGATAATTCGATGCATTAGCATGTTGGGCTCTAAATGTCAAAACACAGAGGGAGAATCATATCAACCGAGTGAGAAATAAATTTTTTACTAACCCGCACATGGCACATCGTCATTTCCTGCCTGGATGCTTCCAACCTCCCATAGATATGTGCAACTGTGCATACATGAGTACGTAGAGCGTGAACAATATCACGTAATTACGTACGAAAGCACAAAAATTGACAAACATGAAACATTAGTGAAAAACTAAGAAATTATTCATTTTCTACTGTGGCGCACGACCCAACTTCATTTAAATTGTACGGAGACGATTTCATTACTTCTTTCAAATGCTTACATGATGTTAAACTTACACAGATTATACACGTACCCACATTTCATGAAACAAAGCAACGCAATTTTTAAGACGATAGAATTTGCGTGTCGCTGAGCTAAATAATTATTATTCTCAATTGGGAGCAAGACGAACCGTAAACAGTTTATTTGCGTAATGTTCTATTTCAACAGTCACCTCACCAGGGGAATTGTAGCCAAGCGTGTTTTTTTGTTAACAAATGATTTTTTGTTCGTATAAATATAAAGTACACTCACTCCTGTGGAAAATGTTGTATATGTAAGCACAGGTCTACACACACAAACACACACCCAAACACACACAAAGACGCACACCTACATGCACGCACACGAACTTAAAGATACTCACACGAGTATGATTATACGCAGCTATTCTATTCATCCGTAGAACAATTCATGTCTTTTAAGTTTTAGCGCGCCGACAAAACGCACTTGTGTTCTTCCTCATAACAATTGAATACAATTTTATTTTTCTTAAGGATCCATAAATTTCCTTTTAATGAACAACAAACACCATTAAATACAATATATATATAGCTGATATATATATATATATATTGATATTACACATATATGTATTATATATATATATACAATTTGTATGGTTGTATAGCAGGTATTGTATAACATATATGTTATACACATTTATATCTACATACATATGCAAGAGGGTAACATTGGAATACCTACTCGAGATCTCCATAGTGATGACAGCACATGCATTTGCAGGCTGGGAAATTGATCTGCCTCTGTTTGTCCGGATAAGCAAAGAATTTTAATTTCTATGAAATAAATGTTTTTCCTCTGTTGGTGTACCTGCTAACCAATATTTGTATTTTAGAATGGTTGTTGTGTTATAATTATGTGCGTGTGTGTGTGTGTGTGTGTTCATCTATCGAGAGTTTCATTTATTAAATTAATTTTATCATCCGTTAATTAAGTAATGCATCTAGTCCCTTCGTTTTAATGATTTTGATAAATTTTTTTAACTTGAGTTGTATTAAAGATGTTGGCAAGTTTTATAACGAACAAAACCAATTGAATATCATGTTATCATTTACTAGCCGACGTCTCCTTGTTGAGTTGAGCTGCACTGGACTTTTAATGTTTTCACCTGATTCACCACAGTAGTATTTCTAGACTATAACAACGTGTGAATGTGCAACATCTTGCTCGATAACAACAACCAAAATTAGACTCACAAAAACATGTCAAACGAACTTGAAGTTGGCAACGAGAACCAACTGATCTTGGTCTGCAAGCACTGTAACCTGACCTCCATCCAGGTGATAGGAGCCCGTCGGAGAACGATCTGCCCACACTGCGGTAACTTCTACAATCAAATGACAACCGTCAACGAAAGCGCTCCTACCAACCTCAGTAGGAATATTTCCAATAACGGTGCAGGGGCGGGAACAGTAGGAATGAATTTGTTGGGTGGCTCTCGAAATGCTCTGCACGCATCAGCTGATCGAAGTCCTTCCTTGAATGCTCACAGCAGAACTCCCGTACTACCTTCCTTAGCAACCAGGGTAGGTGAATGAATGGGTTGATAGGGGGTAGATAAATGAGTAAATAAATTGCTAGATGAGTAGTTCGCTGATTAATAAATTGATAATGAAAAAATATTAATAGATTTAAACCAGTTATAAAAGTTGAAGAATTTTTTTCAGTAGTTATTTATTTAACAAACACCCAACAGAGTCACGACAGATCTCCATCATCACCGACACCATCCTCATCAGCGCCATCGTCTTCAGCATCTGGCCCACTCAAATCCATCTCAAACTTCTTCAAGCGATTTGGACAGAGGGACAAACAATCAAGGGTACCCCAGCGAAGTCGTGGTGATGCTAACGACAACCCACCCTGCCATCCAACAAATTTATCGTCATCTTCTCGATTCACATCATCTAGTTGTTCAATCCTGCCTCCCATATCTACGGATAACTTAATAAACACGGATCAGACGAGCAGAAGTATGGGCACCTCCTTGAGTCCCAGGTATAGTAACATGCTGAAAGTTGTGGATCTGAACCCGGCGGATGAACAGCCATCTCTTGAGGATATCTTTCGAAGGACTCCACAGAATTTAGAGTTTGTTTTTTTATTATTATCATCATTGTTACCGTTATTATTATTATTTATTATTATTATTTATTATTATTACTATTAGTCATAAATGTTTGTTTATTTGTTGAGTTTTTTAGATGATAATTGAATTTTTTTTCTTGAAAAATTAACTCATTTATAATCTTCCCCGCGCAGAGAAGATGTACAGACCTGCAAACAGCAAAAGCGATGGACGGAGTTGACGAACTACTTTGCAATCGTCTTCGACAACTCGTCTAATTTAAACGCGAACTTCAAAGTCAGTTTTGAATCAACGTTACATTAACTCTTATCCTTCTAATGCACTAATATTACAACTAATTCTACCATCGCTTTCGTTGATTTTGGCATTTTACTACTAATACTGCTGTTGTTACTACAAATTACTACATAATTTTCAACGAAGTGGCACTAGTAAACATCACTTCTACTGATCTCGTCAAAAAAGCAGCACATAAAAAATTTCACATTAGAAAAAATATTACATAACAATAAAGAAACAATATCGATGCCTAAATTATGTCCAGATTAGCTGAAAATTTAATTACAACGATCCTTGCATTTATTTGATTCAAGAAACACACTACTACTAAATAAATATAATTCATTTTTTCACAACTAATTCTCAGAAATATTTTCAATATGCGCGCGCTCACACGCACACAAAACGCACATACACACACAACATACACACATACACACGCACACAACACACACACATGCGTCAGGTGGGATCTCTTCGTATTCGATCCCAGTCACTGCCATAGTAGAACCAGGCATCTTTACCAATATACACCATCTCACCGCCTAAAAACATGCCCAATTCAAAATAATCATAGAATAAAATTGATTACACACTGATTACATTTCCGCACATCGTTTCAAAGTGGCAGAAAACTGATGACGAGTATGAGGGCGACACGAAGCGCAGATTGGAGATAAACTTCAGCAAAGTTTATTCAGTATATGACCTTCTAGTCACACTTGTAATGCTATTACGCTATTTTTTCAAAAATAATTATACAAATTATTTAAAAACATTTAGAGCTCCTCTGTGGTGTTATTATATATATATATTTTTTATTTCAATTGGCAGCCTATTGAAGTTCAAAAAGTAACTTTGAGAGCAATTTTGAACAATCTACTTCGTGACAGAAGGTGATTGTGAGGAATATTAGTTGTTTAACTTGAATCACTTTATCACTTTTTGTGAAATATCAATTACAATTATATATAAATTATTCAATTAATGATTTTAAAAATATAAATCACCCTTTTTTAGATTGCAAAGTAAGGATGAAATAAAGGCCTATATAATCCTCTTGCTAGTAAGAGGACCATTTTATGGATATTCATTTTTACATCGGTACAAATGATTGAATGATCGATTAATGAGTTCTATTCAGTCTGGATCTGTTTTTTTTTTCAACAGAACCCTCAGTTCAACCACAGAAACACGTACACAATATTTGCTCACCTCCTCAGACAAATATCAGTCCTAAAAGATGTACAGCACCATTACCTGGTACACACTTTCAAAAAGTTGGTCCCAAATTTCAATTTTTACCATAATCATGGTGAATGTAGTTTACACATTAAATGTGAATTTTACCATTTGGTTTATTTGTTTCAATATTTGTAATTAATGGAATGAACAAAATGCACGCACGCCAACGACACATGTCCAACGACAAGTTGATTGCAAACGCTCGCATAGAGACTGCGTGCTCTGTTTCGTTTCAATGAAAACTCCCGCCAACATGGAGCGCTTAAAATCATTGTTTGTGCCATGCAGTAGCAGACGAATCGATGTGATAAATATTTATAGAGAGCACGCAGGCAGAGCTACATAGAGCCACACGGTGGTGGTTTGATATTTCGACTTGTTTTGTCACGTTCGTCTTTTTAGCATGACGTCCTTTTATATTACAGCACAAATCAAAACTGAATTTTTAATCGACATCTGCATAGCGAATGATTTCACCACAGCATCGCACAGGAAAAGTTCAGAGAGATGGTCAAACGTATCCAGCGGTTTATATCGGCCCGGTTGTCGTTGAGTAACTCGAAAGATGACGACCTCCCTCCAAAGTCCAAATGTTTGTGGTGGATACCCTCTGCCACCAAGATACTCGCTCTTCTCAGTTAGTTGATGTTTTTCCATGAGAAGTAGAATAAAGTGTTGAGCATTTTTCGCTTCAGTTATTACAATTATTAAAATTTTTTGATAAACATAATTGATAATTTGATTAATACTTGACGAAATTAAATCAATTTTTTTTCTCGCCAGATGCAGCCTCCAACTTGGCGACACCGCAGTTGATGAATTATCAAGAATTTTATAACCCTTCCCTTGACCATCTCGATCTGTTGGTTGAGTATTACAACTGGCAATGTTCTACGGGCCCTAATTGGTTCGTTCAATTTTATGCTATGTCAATGCTTTCTTTGGTTGGTTAATTAAGTTTTGTGATGACATTTCTTCGGCTCGGTAAGTCATATATTCGGATTTGATTGGTTGTTAGTTTAAAGTTGTTTTTTCAAATTGCAGTTTTTCGATTGGTTAACAAAATAATATCTGGTTGGTTAAGTTTTGTATGGTTTGTTCATATGAATTGACAGAGTTATGATTGGCATGACTCACATACATAAGCACGTTGTAAATATACACTTATATTCGCTTTGCATTAAACATTGATTATAAACTTCTAGAGCTTCAAAACAATCTCAAATTTCCATTCTTCCCAAATCCTCACCCACAGTTTCAGCTTCTGCCAGTACCCATTCATTTTGAGTCTGGCGGCCAAGAGGACCATCTTGCAAAAGGACTCCGAACAGCAGATGGTCGTCATGGCCAGAGTTAGTGTTAATAATAATGAGCGTTGTGATGGTGTAATGGTTAAGATGCCTGGAACTACTGCTGCAGTGAGTAGAATCGATTGAAAGGAGGTCCCGTCTACTTCATGCAATGTGTGTGAAGCGTTGAATTAGGCGTACTTGCATGAGCTATGTGTTTGTTGATGATATCTCCCGAAGATATTTGAGATATGTTGTAAATAGATATTTTTGTACTGTATTTTTGTAGAAAAGTCTGGTAGCAAAGGTCCAACAGCACCAAGTGCCAGAGATCGGTATGCTGTTCCTTAACCTGACAATCAGGCGGTCACACCTCGTCTCTGACTCTCTCAATGAAGTTTTTGTCAATTGCTTTTACTGTACAAATTTGGAAGTTTTGATCGTATGAAAAAAATGAGTGAATAAAAGAATTAATAAAAGATCGATAAGAATTAATGAACGAATTATATTTTATTTAGTTGGTTAATAATAAATTTATTTATTGTTTGGGTAGATTATTATTATATTTATCCAGTGTTTGTCAGGTTGATTAATTGTCTATTAAGAACCGAAATTGATGAACATTGTTAGAAGAATTTTAGCTTAAATACATATAGATAATGGTTTAAAAATTAAATAAGTTGGTTGCTACATATTAAAAAAAATAGAAAAAGTAAAATCTTCTTCGATGGATACCCTTATAGATAGCCCGAAAGCAGATGGAGTTGAAGAAAAAGTTGAAGGTGACATTTGCAGGTGAGCCAGGTTTGGATATGGGAGGATTGACCAAGGAATGGTTCCTGCTACTCACCAGACAAATATTTCAAGCTGACTTTGGTATGTTGCAATTTTTAACAATTGTTTGGACTGGATGTTTGCATTTTAATTTTTAGCACTCTAATTTTTAATATATATTATATTATAATATAATGATAATCATATTTATAACTTATATATCGTATTAATAATTCGTCCAATCAAATTTCCTATCATTAGTTTCATTGAGATAACTATTATCACTGCCATTCAATCGTCATAGTCATGCCTCTAGCTTTCGTCGTTATTGTTGACGCCAACAGTAGTACAATCAAACGAAACTGATATAGTTTTATCTCTCTACTAATTCTCATCATCATCTCAACATCAACATCTCAACATCAACATCTCAACATCAACATCTCAACATCAACATCTCAACATCAACATCTCAACATCAACATCTCAACATCAACATCTCAACCTCATCATCTCGACATCATCATCATTATTGATTCCACCCCCAAGGCATGTTCACGTACGATCCAGTTGCTCGCGTGTATTGGTTCAGTTGTGCGCCTTGCGATAATTTACAGGAATTCAACCTGGTTGGAGCTGTTAGTCGCCATTTTCATCGGCTTCGTCTTTTTATAATGTACACACTCCTCACCAAATACACACATACACACCCCACACACACGCGCGCATATACACACACAGACACTCACACAAACACACACCACACACACAAAAACACACACACACACCACACACACACACACAAACTTCAGCTAATGGGCTTAGCAGTGTACAACAGCGTACAACTCGATATTCGTTTCCCTCCAATTGTGTACAAAAAACTTTTAAGCCCAGCCGTAGTACCGCCAAACGTACAGAAAGCTGTCGTTGGAGTTACCAAAGCCACGCTGTCCGATCTCAAATTAGTCTATCCGGTACATGTGTGTTTGTTTGTTTGTTTGTTTCTGTGTGTGAGTGTGTTTGCGTCTATGCAAATTTGTGTGCGTCCGTGTGTGTGTTGTGTGTGTGTATGCTTAGATTCATGTTTGTGTTTGTAGTTGTGTGTGTGCGTGTTTATATTCATGTTTGTGTTTGTAGTTGTGTGTGTGTGTGTGTGTGTGTGTGTGTGTGTGTGTTTATATTCATGTTTGTGTTTGTAGTTAGTTAAGTCCAAAGGTAATAAACAGAAAATTATTTATAAACTTATTAATAAAGGAAATAATTATTACTGAGTTTGTAACAAATGTAGGATCTGACCAACGGTCTGCAAGAGTTATTAAATTACGGCGGCAATGTTGAAGAAGATATGGGCGCCACCTTTCAGGTGAGAATGATGATGGTGATGGCGATGATGATGATGATAGATTTAAGATTATGATGATGATGATAGATTTAAGATTATGATGATGATGATAGATTCAGTAATATGATGATGACGACAATGATGACGATGTTGACGATGACGATGATGATAAATTCAGTAATAAGATGATGATGACGATGACAACTGCAAAAATATGACGACGACGATGATGGCGACGATGATATGAATACAAGTACGAGATGCTGAAAATAACAATTTTAATGATGTTTAATTTATGGTGGAATGATTTCGTTAATGAGAACTTGATAGCGGAAATGATAACAAGAACAAATAAATAGTTACAATGAATGATGATTAACTGATAACGACGATTAGAGCACAGTTGTGATGTACATAAGTGTATGCGATTATGATGGTACAAACATTAATAAAGATATGTTAACTAATGAATACAAGTTTACTCTTTAGTAATGTTAATTTTTTTCACATTGCATGCATACCATATGCTCCATTTGTTATATTCATTTGTACAACTATCAATCAATCAATTAATCAATCAATCGATCGATCGATCGATCAATCAATCAATCTATCCATCCATCTATCTATCGGTCATCAATCTATCTTTTTTTAACCTACATTAGGTTGTTAGTGCAAGTTTTTAATTTCTTCGTTATAAATGGTCGTTGAACTCTAGCGTAAATTAGACCAAGCGGTCCAGATGCTGTTGTTTATTTATCGTGATGTTCTCTGTTGTTGTTGTTTGTCCTATTTGTTTTGTCTGACGTGGCTGAAGAAAAATGTTGTAGAGCTTTTCTTTCCTATATTTATTCCTATTCATAGTTAGTTCTAAAGTTCTTTTGTTAGCTTGATGCTCACCTCCATTCAAAGCTTCTTGCATTGTTTTTTTCATGTTGAGAAGTTAATGCACGAAATGATGTGCAAAATTTTTTAAAATTTTTAATTGAGGAAAAATGAGATTATTTTCAATTAATGTTGCACTGATGTAACCAAAGTATGCAAATTAATTAAGAATTTAATTACTAAATTAATTCAAGTAGCAAAACAATTTTCCAATAAATTACCAAGATCTCCCACAACGTTTTCGGCACGACGACCACGTATGATTTGAAACCTGGTGGTGCGGACATCGCTGTCACTGCAGAGAACAGAGATGGTTGGTAGTAGTTGTGGTGGCGTTCCTTACGATAGTGTGGTGCTGTGGTGTGGGGATCTGATGCTGTTATTTTTGTGATTATCTTATTTTTTTTTTCATCCAACCAACGTAAGCCGTTGAGCCCGTGGTGGTTCAGCAACAACTCGTTATTCTATTCGGGATTTATTTGTATTTTAGTTTTTTGTTGCACTAGAGCATCTACCACTCTACCCATCTGACATTTTCTATGCCGCCCTGTTCTTTCTTCTTTTTTCAACCTTTTTAACAAAGCTCACAGTAGCGATCATTAATCGAAAAAACACGATGTTTAATGACATATTTGTTTGTTTAATGACTGTTGTTATGGCAATCAGTGTTTTGTATTGTGTTTATTTGTAAACGTGTGATGTATGCATGTGTGTGTGTGTTTATGTGTGTGGTGTGTGTGTATTAGTATGTGTGTGTGTGGTGTGTGTGTGTATGTGTGGTGTGTAATTGTGTGTGTGCGTGCGTGTGTGGAGGATGAGTTTGTATCAACGTTTGTGAATGTCAGTGTGTGCAAGTTGAGGTGTGTGCAATGAAAACCTGTTGTTAGCTCTATGAAAAATTAGAATCTTATTGTTCTTTCTTTTAATTCTGTCTGTTGCGTTTCTCACAATATAAAACTATTTAAAAACCATTTGTTACTAAGGTAAATTTGTGCTGAAGAGGACATATACTTTAAATCATTGTTAGTTTTGAATTAATTTAAGATAAAAAAACGCACATACAAGTGGTGTACTGAATTGTGAATGAATTTACCCAAACTTGCACTTACACATACATCTAAACAGAAACACACACACAAACATGCACACGCACACACGCACGCAAAAACACACAATCAAAGAATACGTCCAATTGTACATCGACTACCTGCTAAACCAGTCCATATATCGACAGTTCCAAGCATTCTACCACGGATTCCACAGTGTCTGTGCCTCTAATGCTCTTATCGTAAGTTTTCTTTTGGAAAAAATTATGTATACATGTTTGTGTGTATGAATGCATGTGTACATGCATGTATGTATGTATGTGTGCATGTATGTATGCATGATCTGATTTAAGGGGTATGGATTCATGAATTCAAGCAAAAAAAACCGTTATCGTCTAATAAGCTGTTCGCGCAATAAATCTAAAACTATCTTAAACGTTTATATTATTTACAATCGTACGTACATCGTTTAGGATGCTGCGATGTATTTTCATTACGTTGAAACCAATCTAATTATCTCTACTTAGCAATCCTTAGCAGTAACGGCCATTGCGTATTTTATTATCAAATAGCATGACGTATAATTAAGACTGTCAACTTCGGCTAATGGGACCAAGCGTTTAATTCATTTTTACGGACTAAAAACGACCATTCCCGATATAGCCCGATTAACCAGTTTCTTATCAATTTAGAATTCACCAACGACTTTTAATTCCACAACAACCGCCATCAGTTGTTGAGACCGGAGGAGATAGAGTTGCTGGTGTGTGGAAGTCCCGCCCTAGACATGAACGATCTCATGAAGGTCACTGTGTACGATGGCTACAATTCGGAGTCTGAAACCGTAAAGTCTGTTGTTGTTGTGTGTCACCGGATGTAGTTGTGATGGCGCTGGGTGTCACGTGTTGTTGTTGTGATGACGCTGTGTGTCACGTAGTGTTGTTGTGATGAAGTTGTGTTACGTGTTGTTGTTGTTAAAATATTTTGTTTTTTAGCAGTCACAAGGATATTAAGAATCCTAAATATTTACACGTTATTCTGTAAAAAAAATATTTAACCGTTTTAGCTGGCTTTGAAATCTCCATTTTATTACAAAAAAACCAACACAATTAAAGATATTTTTGGGAAGTTGTGACGTCATTGAGTGGAGATGTGCAGAAACAATTGTTATTATTTGCAACCGGAAGTGATCGAGTTCCGGTTGGCGGAATGCAGGAGATGCATTTCAAAATTACTAGAGTGGAAAATGTCAACATGTAGGTATTTTGCTGTTCACTGATTGGCTGGTGGAACTAAGTTTTGATTGACAGAATAATTGTTTGAATGTAAAATATTCAAATTGAAAGTTTTATCGTTACATAATAACTGAATATTATTTGGATGATTCATATAACTTGCTGGTTCATTGTGAACATTTGAAATTACTAAAATAAGATTTCTACGTTTGAACGATTGACAGAGGGGGCTTATATTTTAAAATAAATTGTAACCAGCCAATCAATCGACTTGCCGGTCAACCAACCTTTCAAACCATTAAACCAACCATTCAACCAACCAAACAAACAACCAATCAAACAACCAACCAAACAACCAACCAAACAACCAGCCATCTAACCAATCAAACAGCCAACCAAACAACCAATCAACCAACCAACCAACCAATTAATCATACAGGCTACCAGTTTCACACACGTGTTTCAACCAACTCGTCCTGCCAGCGTATAAATCAAAAAAAGTTTTGAAGCAGAAATTGCTGGTTGCCATTGAAAACGCCGAAGGATTTGGATTAGAATAACTTTGATAATATAATATTTTTTTTAAATGTATAAAAAATAAAATATAAATATTAATAAATCAAATAAATTCTGTCCTGTTTGCTTAAGTATATTTAATGAAACTGCATGTATTATAAACTATAATTCCTATGCTTGGAGATTGAAATATACCTACATACATATGTACAAACATACATGCATACATACATACATACATACATACATGTACATACAAACAAAAGAATTGTTTTTAAAGTCTGTGTTTTGGTTTATAGATGCTTAAACGGATTGGCTCCGCAATATCTGTCCGAAATGTTGATTGACAGATCATCGATTTCTTTAAAAACTGGCCTACGATCAGATCGGGGAAACTTGTTAGTGGTCCCGGTTACTAAATTAAAGATTGCATCACGTAGTTTTGCAGTTTATGGACCAAGGCATTGGAATGAACTTCCATATTTTTTGCGCCGGTCTGGTCTGACACTTCCCCAGTTCAAGAGTCAATTGAAGACATATCTTTTTTCCTTGTAGAAAATTGCCATAGTTGTAAAGCGCCTATGAGAATGTTTTTAATAGGCGCTATATAAATGATCATATAATAATAATAATAATAATACATACATACACACACACATACATACATACATACATACATACATACATACATACATACATACATACATACATACATACATACATACATACATACATACATACATACATACATACATACATACATACATACATACATACATACATACATACATACATATATACAACATACATACATTCGGGTGGTGTTCATGTTTATTGACCGCATTTTTCTGTGTGACTAACTAATTAACTTATAAACTTTTCCTAATAAAATGAATTTAAAACCGAAATCGACTTTTTAAATTTAATTTTTTTAAAATGTTTTTAATTAGAAATTCATCAACGTACAATATTGCATGCAACCATCAGCGATTTAAATATTTTTATGATTTATAAATTCGGCAACTAAACGATTTTCCAAGACAATCGAAGTTCCTAGCAAAGATCACATAGGGCGCCTATTTCCCGAATAGCCTACGCTAAAAACCGGACACCACATCATATGCTCGTGGAATATATTTGAGATTTTTGAGATTCGGATGGACAGTATTCGAATCAAGTCATCACGTAATAGCGCAAGACATGACACTTCCACCCTACCGACCGAGCAAACTTGCCAACCGACTCTCTTCCCCCCCCCTCACTCCATATACATCTTTATTTTTCTCTTTTAATCTCTCTATTATATATCAAGGTTTCATTTGTAATAAAATAAAATAAAAAAATACCTCAATATCGCGAGTTCTCGGTGGTTGTGTCGCAGGGTCGAATTAGAATTAGGATGGACTGCCCTGTCACCTCCAATGATGATTCACTAAAAAATAAATAGATAAGCATCTACTTTTCCATTACTCCGGGGCTTCCACACCCACAAATCCCATCGTTAGGACGATTGGGATAAATAACGGAATGCAGACGTCTGTGCATGAGTTCTTCTGGCATTCCCATCCCATCCCACATTGAAATCATTTTTGAAGATTTTTAGTGAGTTTGTTTTTTTTAAATTTACATTTTCAGTATTTAAAAGATATATCATGTTTTCTAATAGATTTTGAGTATATGCAATGTATACTATTTTCATGTTCATTTGATATCATTTGTATTCATGATAGGGGATGTCCAAATGGTCTTATCTATTGTAGGAGCCTTTTTGAGGTCCAGATCAGATAACGGGGTTCATAGTACATTAAACCATTACTTTAAAAGTATTTTTTCATAGACCTCATTCGGAGGGCCATGCCATATGACCTCCTACCTCCTCTCCAAGAGTCGGGTATGCATTCTTTAGTGTATTCTTGATGTGTGAATGGCAAACTAATAAAGGTGATCTAAAAACTTTAGCGATAATCAAATAAGAGCCTTCTTTTTGAATAGTTTTTCTTTATATGATGCTTGGTTATTTTTTGTTATTGCTTAGTGAAGCACTAAAAAATTAAATAAATTTTACAAAACAAGAAACTTAATGTTCTTTGGTGTTACACAAGGCCTCATTGATTTATCTATTATCGTTCAGTTTGTTTATTTGCTTTATAAGCTAAATATCTTTATTAATTTTTGTCTTAGAAGCAATTTTTAGCCATTTTAAGGGCATTTTTCATGTTATAAAATATTTATAAGAAAAATTAAAATTACGAAAATACTTTTGCTTTTCTTGATAAGTTTTTTTAGATTTTAAAATTAAATTAATAAATTGAATTAAATTTTTTTCTTATTTTGTCTGTGTGGAAAGATACATTGTAAACTAGCACCATCAGAATAATTTGGCTTTTCAAAGAACTTACTGATTTTAATCATCTTGCTCTACCTTGTGCTGCTCAGGTCTTGGGTTCAATTCTCTCTTCTACCTGGTTTGAATTTTTTTCAGTTTTCAAATTTTTGTGTCACCAATTGAAAATAAAAGACAGATTATTTTTATTTCTTTTTTATTCATGATAAAATAATTATTAAATGAAGTAAGAATGTTATTTAAGTTAATTAAATTGATTAGTAGTGTAGTGCAATATTATAAAATATATAATATATATATTATATTATATTATATGATAATCATATTTATAAATCGTATTAATAATATTTGTGTATGTGTGTGTTTGTGGTTGTGTTTGTGTGTGCATGTGTCATTGTATTTCATCATTATTTTATTAATATATTGTGAATCATTCATTAATATTCATGCTAAAAATATATATACCTATTATAAAATAGTATTTTAATTATATATATATATATATATATATATATATATATTGTTTTAATATTTATATATAAATAAAACTAAATCATTAAATGTTTATGTAAGCCTTACACTTAAGGCCATGAGCAAGCTCCTTTTAGATTTAAATAAATAATTAAATATGGTGTAGAATAAAATAAAGATTTCTATTGATTTTTATGTATAATATGTTTCAATAATGTGTAATATATTAATTTTATAGATAAGTTATGTCAAATTTTTCATCAGAATTTCACAAAAATCATTTTATTATAAATTAGAACTTTGTAGTATATTTAAACTTTGCACGGCAAAACTAAGTTTAATATTTAATGCATTAATTATGACAAAATTTAGTTAAAGGTTAATTAGTTAATTAAATAATTTAATTTAATTGCAAATAAACTTAATATGCAGATTGTCATTGTGATTGGCCATGGCATCCAGCTCCAGTAACTCAACCAATGGTAGCAAACCACAAACTGCTATAAGGTCTTAGATATTTTCAATTATATAATCCTTACTTGATTTTGACATATACAAATACATATGTTTTTGTGATTTTTTTTGTTTGTTTGTATGTTTGTTTGTTTGTATGATGTATGTTTGTATATTTGTTTTTATGTATGTTTGACCCTCTTGTTGTTTCTGTTGTAAGCTTGTTCTTATGATAAGTGTATGTTTTTTTGTCGTTAAACACATTTAGATAACACTGTAATACAAAATTTAAAGTTTCCTAATAGAAAATTTACATAATTTGTTATTAATTATTCATACATTGTTTTCATTCATCAAATATACTTTAATTTCTATTAAATTGCCATTAAAATGTTAACAAATTCAATGAGTTATAAACAAACCTAATTTATCCAATATTGACATAACGTAGGTTAGCCACAATAAAACCAACGCGAGACCTAACCTTGGGTTTTGGATCGACAAATAAGGATGTGACCAGGGGTGGCATGCCAAAGCGAAAATTCGTCCCCAACATTCCTCAGCTAAAGGCTAAAGCTAAGTTAGACAAACGTAGTTTTTGATTTGTTTTAGTAAATACATAATGTGTAATTTATAAAAGGTTAATTTTTTTTATTTTTAATTTACTTTTTATTTTTTTATGTGAACATCATTAGCAACATAACTTTTATGAGTTTAGCTCTATATAAATTTATTCATTCATCCAAATGAACATACATTTATTAATACTTTGTCCTTTCTAAACAATGAATGATATTTGAGACAAATTTCAAGAGATTGAGCTATAGGGGAAATTTTCAATTCATAAATAATGTTTGAATTTTCATCCAGTGATCAAAATGTCAGCACATCATCATCGTCAACAATGACATCATCATCATCAACAACAACGATGACAGCATCATCATCATCAACGTCTGCCAAGCATCATCATCACCACAAGACCCCACCCAATCCTCGCGGTCGTGGAAGGGGGCGGAGCAGGGGTCATGACCTCATTCAGTTGACGTCTATTTTTGATGAAGGGCCCATGGAAAAAAGTGGAATCAAAGCTGCAAGATCTGGTTGGATGGCTGGTTGATTTGTTGGTTGATTGGATGGTTGGTTGGTAGGATGGTTGATTGATTAGTTGTTTGGTTTGTTGATTTGATGATTTGGTAGGATGGTTCATTGATGAGATGGTTGGTTTGTTGGTAATTTATTTAGCCATGCCATTAACTGGTTGAATTGAATTGTTGGTTGATCATCATTTTTAGTTACGCGATTTGTAAAATTATTTGGCTGTTGTTGGTTTCATTGATAGGACGAAGGTATGGTTAATATTGTTGTCATCACATTATTATCATCATCATTGCAAGCATCACATTCACCACCATCAACACCTTGTTACTCAACAGTATCCACGTTGCACCTCAGCTCTGGAAACAGATCATCATCATCATCACATGCACAGCAGCAGAACAGGACAAAACTTTGTAATAATGTGAAGAGAGAGAGAAAGGATGGCGAAAAGGATGACGACGATGATGATGACGATGATAAGGCACTGTTGGCTGAACTGCTGAAAGATGATGTGGGTAGATTTTCACTCATTTTGGTGATTCTTTTGCAGTTCAATGCCATCGTCACAAGTTTCTCAAAATTTAAAATAGGTCTTTAAACAAACTACCTGCTTAATATTAATATTGAAAAATTAGCATATAGGCGTCAATCATTATATTCCTTGCGTGTTATTGGTTAGTAATACGCCACAAAGCTCCTCCCATTAGGAGTTCTTTATGAGTTAGAATTTAAATCTAGAAACCTATCCTTACTTAACACTATTGTTTTGGGGATATGGTAATGGTTTGATTATATTAGCAATAAATTTGATGTATATAGCTTCTTTTAAACTTTTTTTAATTATAATATATTATATTATTATTATTAAACAGTTAGTTAGTTGAAATTTAAGGAGCTTTATAACATTTATCCACATGCATATTATCATAACTTGTAAAGAACAATTATCTTTTTGTTATGAAGTTAGATCTTATTGAATTGTTATTTTTTAATTATCATCAATTCAAATTTTATTTTCAATCACCCATAAATATTATATTATTAAATTATAGAAAAAAAAGAAAAATATAGTTACGAGATAAAATTGAAATACATAGTAATGAAATAGAGGAATAAAAATCTTTCCAGTTCATTGATGACGACGATGAAGATGAGGGTGGATTGGAGAAGCCTGGCAAACAATATCCAATCACACTGCCATTTGCTGGCCTGGCTAAGAAAGATTTCAAAGTCGAACTCGTTTCACTCAACGATGTTAAAAGTTTGTCTGTCTCATAATTTATGTCACAACTCTCTCTTTTTGGTGTATCTCAGAGGTATTATATGCGTCGTAAGGATCTCTATGCATTCGAACCTGGTCACTGCAACTTCAGTGCCAGGCGCCTTAATCATTACATAACTTTTCGTCATGTGTTCATATTTTACAAATAGTCCAGTATGTAATTTGTTGTTCGGGAGTATGTTTAATAATCTATCTTATTCAGTGAATTCTATGATTGAATTAACTTAATTAAAAAGCAATATATTTATTTATTTATTTGCATGTATGTTAAGAAGGAGTTTTTTTTACTTGATTCCATCTCTTGTGTCACTCGTTTAATTAACCTCTCTTAATTAATCTCACATATACATTACTGCAGGGAAAAGGGAAGAGGTAACGGATCAAAAATGTCCATTAAATGTTATGGAAGTTGATAAGAACGACCAACAACAAACAAATGTTGCCAACCATAACCAACAACAACCGACGAATGTTGCCAACAATCTCGAACAGAATTTCAACAAAAGCAGCAACTCGTCAGCAAATCCTAGTACAACTGTTAATATTGAAGATAGTTAGTATCATGATTTTTTTCTTTTTATATTTATTCATTTAGTAATAATAATAATTTTATTTTTAACTAGTTTTAGACCTAAGTCAACTCTATCTCGTTCAAATGCCTCATTTCCTCCCTGGCTTCCCGCCATCTTCATCATCATTATCACCACCCTCCACATCATCATCGTCATCATCACGTCGGCCGTCAACTTCCAAAACTGGAGATGGTGGGGATAAAACGAATGCACCTTCTTCTGAGAATAATTCCCAGGTTGGTTGGTTTGTTAGTTGGTTGGTTGTTAGAATGGTTGGTTGTTTGTTAGAATAGTTGGTTGGTTGGTTGTTTATTAAAATAGTTGGTTGGTTGGTTGTTTGTTAGAATAGTTAGTTGGCTGGTTGGTTGTTGAAATTGTTGGTTGTTTGGTTGGTTGTCTGGTTGGCGTGTAGCTCAGAAAGTATGACAATCATATTTCACATTTTTTGTATAACATGTTAACTCTGTGCACAGATTTCGAAAACTTTCATACAAGCTGTGCATCTGATGATGTAATAGCGATTGCATTTACATGAGTTGTTGTGTGTATGTATTGTACAGCTTTTGAGGCACAAAACCTCATTCAGTGATGAGTAATAATATTTCGGAACCATAAGTAAGCAGCTCTCTTTCCATCGGATCTTCGCTATAAAAATTGCTTTCTTGTTAATTATTTTAGTTTATTTTTTTGTGAAAAGGTTACCCCGTTAAACATTTTTTCATGCTTTTGGGCAGTTCATTTTTTAGTGAACTGAATTCTTTTAACCTTTGAACTCTGACTTCTGCTTGTTTGACTGACCTTCAAATCAGCAATACCGTGTCATGCTGTTTGTCATTTATAACATGCTTGCACAGTCCATTAATGTTCTTATTATTAATAATTTGAATGCAAGTATAATTATAATAATAATAACCTAATATGATAATTATATTATTATTATTATGATAATAATATTATTATAATTTGGATTAAAAATGATACAGGGAGGTACATTTTTAAAAGATTTCAGCGAGGGCTACATAGGAAAGTTGCGAATTCGCAAGTCAGGCAAGATGGAGATAGCGTTGGGAAACATCTTGTTAGATGGGGACAAAGAGCTCCCTGCTCCATATTTACAGGTTGAATGCTTGATATCGAACTAATTCCGATTACTTTGAGTTCTTGTCTGCTTGTGTGTGTGCGTGCGCGCGTGTGTTGACCGAATGATCGATATTGATTTAGTCAAATTTATTGCTTTGCTTGAATGTGGACACATAAACACACACGCACTCAGGAAGCAGTTTTGATTGACAGAACGCACGACCCCAACCGATTCATCAGACTGGGAACCATCAACGAACAAATAACATTCATGCCTAATATCTCAAGCTTGCTGCAACAAGCCGAAACAGAAAAAACTCGCAAAAGCTAGCAGGATAACCAAAAAAATTTTTTTTTTTATCGCAACCATAAGTATCTGTTATTTATTTAGTGTCCTTCTCTAGGAAATTATTAATTCAACTCGAAATGTATCTTGAATATATAATCACTGTCAACATTTTTTGTTTTGATTGTGTTCGTTATCGTTTTTACCCCACTGAAATATTTTGTTTATATCTTCAACACAGTCATTACAATGAGACAACGGTTTGAAATGGATAAAATACAAGACATTAACATAATTTATTCATTAAGTCTTTTCTCTCTCTCCCTCCTAACTGTTTTTATCAGTAATGGAGGAGATATACATTTATAAATGAAGTAAAGTGACAGTTACAGTCTCGAGAAAATTGTTTTAAAATAAAAATTAAAAGGTTGTTATAAATTATGATGAAAAAAATTATGTTATTATTATATAAGAATATTATTTTAGTTATTAATTAATGGATTAATGAATACAGATACGTAAAATACTCATGGTATTGAGTATTTCAATATAAATGTATTTGCGTGACTACTAAGTAAAGAAGAATAGAACGCATTTAACTTTATACTATATAATGGTAGGTCGGTTAAATGTTGAATCTGGAAAATTATTAAATAAAATTTAATTAGTCAATAATTGATCAACTATTTAAATCAAGAATGGGCAAACTTTTTGCTGTGATGGCCGCCTTAACAATTATTTTCCCTTCATAGGAAAAATTGACAATTACTTTCCCCACATACATTTGAATAGGGGAGAATGGGGGAATTTTTTTAAGATGTTCATTTGTGGCGGACGACCATTTTTTCGGTCGTAATGTCATTTTACTTTTTTTTCATAAAATGCGAACAAAAACCTCGCAAACCGCATAAAATGGCATCGCGGGCTGTAGTTTGCCTGCCCCTGATTTAAACGCGTTTTCTATTTGATGTCCAACGATAACATATACCACGTTGATGGTGACCGATATATTTAAAAACGTTCAAGTGTTTTTCTGTGTGCGTGTTTGTGTGTGTGTCTGACTGTGTCTGTGTATATACTATACATTTACGATGTTTGTATAGGTATTCACAAGCATGTATTTGTGTATAATTGTTCATGCATATATAATTATATATACCAATATCAACGTATTGTATCTTAATTTTATTACCAATAACAGCAGTAGAAAAGTGTAGAAATTTGTCCGCTAAATATCTCTAACATTTAAAATCAGTATTAGTGGATAAATAAATGAAATGAATAAAAAATAAGAATGAATAAAAAGACTGAATAATTAAATAAATAGGTAGGTAAATAAATGATCTAGCCGTATAGACATATGTAAAGAGATCCTGTTAGAACCATTTTAAATTCCGCTCGAGTAGGGTTGTTTATTTTATATTATATTTTAATATTTATACATAAATTTATTTTTTATTTATTCGTTTATTTGCCGTAACGAGCTATAACTAGCTCAACAAGTACTGCCATCCTAAAGTAAAATGTAAAATATGAAGTGACAAAATGAAATTTCTGCATGAACTAAAATTCACAAAGTTAAAAACAAAACATGAATGTTCCAATATATATAAAATATTTAAAGTAGATGAAATGCTATGGAACAATTTAAACATTAATATACAAAACAAACGCAATTGACTATCATAAAAATGAAAAACAAGCCATTATACAGGATGCTGATATAATATATATAATTTAGCTTATTTAGTTACACTCTAATTAGTATTGTCTTAAACTGTATCTTAATTTGAATACTACATAACGAAAAGTTTTTCATAAATTAAATTAGAAGTTAGTAGTTCCTACTTTCAGATTACAGAGTAAGACATTTTTGTCAAAATTTCACTAAAAAATCAAACTTTAGACAAATATCTAAACGAAAAATAAGTAAAAAACTGGTTGAAAATAATAGAAAGTAGAATTTAGAAAACAAAATCTCCAGAAAAACTAAGTGAATATAGTATAAAAAGATAACACAAACTTAATGATAAGGTTGATGTAGCGCCTACTTATCTGCAGCGCGATTCAGAAAAACTTAAAGCTATACAAAACCAACAAAAAAATAGTAAAAAATGTTTGACGATGGTAGGGTAGGAAAAGCGATACTGTTTTCAGATAAAAGAGAATAATTCGTTACGAAACAGTGCCTTTTAGACGATCTGGTCTTATCTAAATGAACTAGAAAATAGAAAAAGTGTATATGATTAAAAAAACTTATTCACGAAAATAGCAATAATTTTTTTTTATAACTCTTCTTATTAAAATTATTATAATTCTGCTCTCTGAAACCAAGCAACAAATGAAAATTTTTTTTTAAGTAGCAATAAATTTCGATTAATAGCATTATAACTGTTTTATTGGGTTTACCATTTCCTTTTCTTTCTAGAAACAAAGTCAATAACTGTTTAAGGAGAAAAATCGCGAAAATAACCCAAAAATATTGATTTTTAAATATCATTAAGTTTTTTTTTACTGTTGTTGCACTTTCGATTTGAATAAATTAAATTTTGAAAAATTATTTGGTCTGCATCAATTAAAGTACTAGTTAAATTATGAATAACATTAATACGTTAATTAGTATCAATACGGTGGGCCATTGTGAAATGAAAAAAATTCAATTGAAATAATTAAAGAAATGATAATTCACATAATATCTTAATAAATTTACAAATAAACATTTTGCATGTATATATCTGATAGTCTGAATCCTATATATATATATATATATATATATATATATATATATATATATATATAGTTTAACATATATATATATATACATTTTTCTTTCTTTCTTTACTTATTTAAATTTTATTTATTTATTTGTTTATTTACAGTCAATATTCATTCGAATTTTTACAACAATTTAAGTCTATAAATTGGAAGGCATAATGATGAATGAACACGACAGCTGAATCTTATATCCTGAACTTAATCATTATTCAAATTCGAAAATTCAAATTTAGCGATTAAAATAAAAATATAATAACAACAACGATGATGATGGTAAAAACAATTATAACACTGTCATTATAACACGTGGGATGACGGAAAAACTATAGAATGATGAATAGGTTTGAAAGAGAAAAACACTTATACAGAAATATTTGTAAATATACAGTAACTATAGAAATTGACTTAACACACAGGAACACACACATACACACACACACACATATATATATATATATGTATATAGATATATATATATATCATTAATCATCATCATAAATAGTTTTAAGAGTTCGACTAATTAAAATGTTGAATAGAGAACTGATGAAAATGTCGATTTAATTGAAAAGAATTGTCCATCATTCACAAGCAGAACTACACACTTACAAATAAATACGCGTACACACTGTAGTACAATCACACACGCACACACATACACACACACATTACATTGTCTTCCTCTTCTTGTTCTACTTCATTTCTTTTCCAACACCTTCAAGTCCACATTCGATGGATATAAAGAAACTTGTATGTATGTCTGTGTGTCAGTCTATATGTTGGTGTTTGTGTGTGCTTGTTTATACATGTATTTGTGTGTATGCGTTTGTGTATATATGTATGTGTTAGTGTATATATGTATGTGTTTGTGTATATATGTACGTGTGTGTATGTTTTTGTGTATTTATGTATGTGTATATGTGCATGTATGTGAAAAAATATATTTCAGTTTCCTAACTGAGTAGTAGGTGGTTCTTCAGAAGTAGCAGTAGTAATGGCGTTGTATAAGTATTTGTTGTTATTGCTCAACGTAGTATGCAACGTGCCATTATATCAAATGCAATCATTCCTAGAACCGAAAGAGCTTAATGTAATGCAAAAAACATCTTAATATAATGGCCAATGTGATCAAAAGCAACTTAATGTAATGTGAATGATAAATAGATTGCTCCATGCTCTATTCATGTTATCGACGAAACATTTGAAGATTTTCAAGTTGGAGAAAAAATTTTCTATAGGGATTTTAAATGACTACAAAAACATATGATTGCATCTTTTTTGTATGTTGGATTGTATGTTTGTGTTTGTATGTTTGCGTATGTGTGTGTGTGTGTGCGTACGTTTGTGTTTGTCGGTTTTTGTGTGCTTGACTGTATGTTTCTATGTTTGTTTTGTATGTATGCGTGTATGTTTTGTATGTTGTTCATTGGTGTGTTTTTGTATGGGTATGTGTGTGTGTGTATGTGTGTGTGTATGTGTGTGTGTGTGTGTGTGTGTGTGTGTGTGTGTGTGTGTGTGTGTGTGGGATGGGTGTTTGTATTTTGTTTGTTTCTTTTTAGGTTTTCAAATTGTTGGTTAACATACGTCATAGTTTTTAGTTATTTATTTTCATTGTAAAATTTTCATTCGTAAAAAATTTCGTGTTTTTGTCATTTTTCGCCTTAAGTTTTGATATTAAATCTGTCTTTTGATATTACGTCTGTGTGTATGGTTGTTTGTTTGTACGTATTTATATATGTGTTTGTATGTTTGTTCATTTGTATGTAAATGCGTTTGTATGTTTGGTGTATATTTCCGTGTAGCCCGTTGTGTAAATTTTCTCAGCTGGGAACATTTTTTAATTCTTTAAGACGCCATAGAAGGCCAAAGCTTCTCATCCATTGAAAATGATGCATTAATTAAAATTAATTAATTTATTAAAATTCTTTGCTTTTGTACGTTTTTGTATTCATGTTTGTATGCGTGTTTATATTTGTATGTGATTTTATATTAGCGTGTGTTTGTATATAATTGTATGTATGCATAGTTGTATGTGTATTGTACGGGTTTCTTAATGTCTGTGTTTTTTACTTTTATGTGCGTTTATATGTACGTGATATGGTTTGTTTGTGTGTGGTTGAGTTTAGATGTGCCTGAATGGATGTGTGCGTGTGTGTGTGTGTGTGTGTACGTGTGATTGAGTTTAGATGTGCCTGAATGGTTGTGTGTGAGTGTGTGTATATATGTGTGTGCGTGTATGTGACTACATGTGTGTGTGTACGTGTGATTATGTG